ATATTAGGGATGCAACTTGTAATGGAATGTATGAAAATACTGTATTTCAGGTTACATACAGTGATACAAAATTCTATCTGTGTTGTTTGGTGTGCAATTATGACACAGTCATACATGCAAGTCAGCACTTGGAAGTCATTAATATGCACATGCGAGCAAACCTCTGTTTTGCAAATTTGGTGGGCCGTCTTAACGAGAGCAAGACCTAAATGGAGAGCCAGATAGTTTCTGGAGAAAAATTATGCAGATCAAACAAGTACATATTCAGTGACTACTAGAAAATGGGTTTGTCATGTTAAGAAGCAATCATGTGATTAAAAAGGCTATGGAGCTGTGTTTCAGCCCCTGATGACCCATTAGTATGGATGTTTGCAGTGAGGAAGCATATGTTCTGTATGTAGGCTTCCCCAGAATTCGGAAACCTACAGACATAACAGGCATCTAAGTCTCAGTCATCTATGTGTCATAGGGAGTGCTGCCAGAGAGCCCTACAGCCTTTTGATGACTATCATGCTCAGGGGACTTTCAGCCTCTCTGTTTCTATAATATGGAATGTGCTACGAGGCAGAACTTAGTCGCAAAGGAATATAGGATTGTGTCTGGTGCTATCAATTTTCTTCCATCGGATTATTTTTTATTTATTTGTTTTCCCTTGGAAGAAGCCACTCTGGATCAGTCAGAATTCTAATATTGGCTATTACTGAAAAGTTAATTCAGTCATGTATTTAATTTAGAGCAAGAGTTTTGTGATCAAAGTTGCGAGGGGGGGGCATTCTTTGTTATGGTGAAGCCTCTGTTTTTTCAGAAATGACTTAAAGGATGAGAACATGTATACCAAATATGGATCTGCCTTTTGTTTTGATGAATTTCACAATCGGCTAATATGTGATGAAAGGTATTTGACTACATATGGCCTAAGAGCATTAATATCCTTGTTGAAATGGGGGAGGGAGACCCCACTGATCACTTGAAGGATGCAAATAAGCCTTTAAACGTTTTAGCCTATTATTGGCTTTCACATGGTATTAGTAAGAGGGGAGTTGGCTAATATGATAAAAAGGCAATTAGTGTAATTCAAAAGCATGTAATATGATAAGACCTTTGTACTGCATTGCCAGCTTTGATAAAAGCCAGTGGCAAAATCTTATTCAATCACTTTCTGAGTGTCTGTACTTGTGATGGGGACCACTTGGAATGAGTCATACCAGGTTTACCTTTTCTGCTGCGGTTCAGGGTCCTAAAGTCTCCTAAACATAGTAAGTAAATTTATTTTATTTATTGGAAACATTTAAGCCCAATCGGTCCATGCTATAAAGATTAGTTTGTGAAAAAACGATGTCCTTTTGCATACCATATTGTCAGCTAATATTTTGTTTGACAGTTCAGTATCTTGCAAGAAGAATTCTGTTACAAAATGGTTTCACTGGAACCTGTTGGGTGGGCTGCGTTCGATGGGGCAGATAGTAAGATGTACAGACCTGGCCTTTTGTGAAGAAGTCATGTTGGTATTTTCCTTCCATATAAACTCATACAACTGGGCACTTCAGCATTAGTTCAAATTGTTTTGTAATATGTGTTCTTCATTTGTTAGGTCAGGTTTAAACACGGCTGACCTCATAATAGCTTGAAATCTATGCGTGTGTGTTGTAGCTTCCTGCATTAACAAGAATCCAGCCGATATGTAGAACGTTGAACTGTTTGGTGTGTATTTTTTCTCATTCTAGGAAAAAAAATATTTCTATATGCAAAGGGAGAGAGACAGGCTATGGGATACAAAGGCTGTTAATATACAAGTATTTTGTGACCAATTTATTAATTCCAGGTCAGGACATTTTGTTCTGAATTATTCTTCTATTGTTCATTTTTCTTGGCAGAAAACTCTGGTATAAAGAATAGGTGAACTGCTGCCCATCCATAAGGCACTCAATAACTTTTTTACTACTTAAAATATGATATAGAGTGTTATATTGCAGATGGAACTCTCTGATAATTAGAATGTCAATGATACCATCATACTTAACATAAGGAACATGGGGAGAAGTTAATTTGAGAGGAATCTTTTTGTCTAGCTCTCACAGCGACTCTTAGTCCGTAAATCTATTGATGCCTGATTACTCTGCAGTTCCTGGAAGACAGATAAATTATATCTATCTGCTAATTTCATAAGAACATACTGTGCTAATGTGCCTATAAATGTCAAAAAAAAAAAAAAAGTAAAGTAAAAGATATTCAAAGTATACTCCCAAACTTTCCCAAAACATTTTCTACCTTGCATTTCTAGGTTAATACCATGTAATTGATAAATCACCGCCACCATTATTATCACCCTGTGTTTTTTAAGTGGCTACCATAATGTATGCCCTTACAAGCCACCATGCAAACATTTAGCATTGATTTTAATTGGTATTACTATTCTCAATTATCAGTGTCATTATTATATATTTCCTCCAAGGAGCTCAGAGTGGTATATATGGTTTTCTCCCTCCACATTTCTCACAGCTTGAGGTGAGATGAGCTTCATACCTGAGTCTAGATTTTCATCCTGGCCATCAGTGTTCAGGTTCAACTTTCTAACCGCTATATTATACTGTGTTTCTTATTATTGGCTGGTTCCAACATGCAGATTTATCATTTGATGACTGCAAGATCGTGGATGTGTTTGCGTTGTCTCATGTTGGATGGTGTAAAATCTGGGCATGATTGAAGTGTGAGAGAACTTAGGGCCCTTGTGTAGCACCATCACATTTGAAGTTGCATGGAGAGTCAGTGCTACTTTTGAGACCAAACACCAACATGGAGAGAATAATTGTTGGGCCTCTCATGTGCACCACAACCATCTCTATGATATAAATTCATTTATTCAGTGCCAATTTGCATTGAGTAAATTAAAATGAATTAATTCTGATTAACTTTGGTGAAAGCAAGATCAAAATAGGATCTTGTTTGGTGTGCATTAGACATAACAGCAGAGTGACCTTTACTACTGAAGAATGAGATTTCATTATTTAAATAAAGTACTCAGTTTGCTGTTTCCTAATAATATCACAAGGGAAAATCTGCAAGTGATAGCTTCTTTAAATTCCAATTCAGTAACTCATAGCAAATTCAAGATAAGTTGCTCAATTAATTACCATTTATTTATTTATTGCAAGTATGCTGAATCAGTTCATGAAACATAAGCGACCCCACACTTGAGTAAAATGCTACTTTGCATGAACAAACTGCATTCCACCTGCAGAAGCAGGGTTCCTCACAGTTGGTATGAAAACAGAAGCATGGATTGACATAGTTTCCACCAAAATGTCAGCTACAGTGAAATTCAAGGTTATTCTGGACACTCTTCAGATGAGGCATCTTAAGTATTGCAAGGGGAGCCAAAAGACTTCCAAGAAGAACAGGCACAGTCCTAATTACACATTCATATTCAAGCCCATTGTAGTTAGATATAACTAGTTCTCTGCAAGTGCCTTCTGCTATGATTATGGTTGTTTCAAGATCATTGTATTCAAACTCTTATGTTTAGTTAGATAAATAGGCTTGGTGTTGTGGACTCTTGACAGTGTCAGTTGCCTGTTTGCTTGCATTATTCCAGATACCTCCTTTCCTGTGTTCCCTGATCAGCATTGTCAAAGCTGAAAAAAACAACCATCTGTTAGATGGAGAAATCATCACATTCAGCAGCTGCTCCCAAGGACCTGTGGGTTGGGGCAAGCTAATTAGTTTATGGTGGAATAAAATATATTTTGCTATACCAAAAGCAAATGCATATTACACAAACTGTTCTTCTGCAAAGTTTCCCAAGTTTGAAGAAACTACATGAAATTTTGTATCTCAATTCCAGGAACAGTTGCTTTTCATGTATCACCAGATTGCAAAAACTAGGTATGTCATGAATCATAGAATTGTAGAGATGGAAGGAACCCCAAACCTCATCCATTCCAACCCCCTGCAATGCAGGAATCTCAACTCAAGTATCTATGACAGATGACCATTCAACCTCTGCTTCAAAACCTCTAAGGAAGATGAGTCCATAACCTTCTGGGGGAGTCCATTCCTCTGAGAAACCACTCTTACTACCGGAAAGTTTTTCCTGATGTTTTGTCACAATCACCTTACTTGTAACTTGGATCCATTGCTTTTGCTCCTACCCTTTGGAACAAGAGAAAACAAGCTCGCTCCAACTTCCATGTGACAGTGCTTTAGATATTTGAAGATGGCTATGAACTGGTGGGACGCAGGTGGCGCTGTGGGTTAAACCACAGAGCCTAGGACTTGCCAATCAGAAGGCCGGCGGTTCGAATCCCTGCGACCGGGTGAGCTCCCGTTGTTCGGTCCCAGCTCCTGCCAACCTAGCAGTTCCAAAGCACATCAAAGTGCAAGTAGATAAATAGGTACCGCTCCGGCGGGAAGGTAAACGGCGTTTCCATGTGCTGCTCTGGTTCGCCAGAAGCGGCTTAGTCATGCTGGCCACATGACCCAGAAGCTGTACGCCGGCTCCCTCGGCCAATAAAGTGAGATGAGCGCCGCAACCCCAGAGTCGGCCACGACTGGACCTAATGGTCAGGGGTCCCTTTACCTTTACCTTTATGAACTGGTAGCTGCAGCAAATCCCCACTACTGGATATTTATAGGCAACCCTGTTTTGCACGCGTTCAAAGCATGTGCAACCGTGAACATGCGGGCCATTTTCAGACTCAGAAGAAGGTGGGGCAGGTTTATGTGCGCTCCACCAACACAAGTGATGACCAGGAATGCAACCTCCTTGCAAATCAGGCATTGCCTGTATATCTATCGGTATATTAATCAATCTATATTGTGCCATCTCACATTGACCCAGTATGTTCCACATGCAACTATAACATGGGTTTATTGTATACCTAAAAATATATTGCAAGAAGTGCCCCCCCCCACGAAGCAGAAAAGTAAAGTCAGTAAAGAAATACAACATACTTGGATATATACATAATTATGCATTGGACATGACTGCATTTCTCCTTCAGACTCATTAACAGGAACCCAGAGAACAGTGGCAAAACAGTTGTGTATGCTCAGAGTTCAAGCGGTATAAATGGTGGAGAAAAAATTAAAAAGAGAATTGCGGTCCACAGTAGTGAGCAGCTGTCCAAACTTGACACGAGGCAGCAAAATTCTATCACTCAAAAACTAACTGGATATCACATGTACAATTAAATAATATTTCAGGTTTACAGATTCTTTTTAATGAAGATTTAACACTACAGAAGTTGTGCCTTCTGTTTTCTCCCTCACAAATATTAACTTCATAGACATTATACCTTGTTTTGCAGCTGTTAGGCAGGTGTCTTCTCTTAATTCAATGAAAGTCTTGGATAGTTTTAGTCATGCACCAGTGTTGTAAAGATTGGAGCTAAATACTAATTAATAGCCTGATGTCGGTTCACTGGCTCCAAGTTAGTCAGATATCACAGTGAAAGAGCCCATACTTTTAAACGCAGGTTATTGACGATGAGGTTAAATAATCTAGGACAGCTCATTTTCTACTCTTATTGACTATTTTTTTATCAGAGTTATAGCTCGGCTCTATCAGCTAATGGTAATCACTGGACACACACATAGCCCTGTCCAGTGAAATAACTGCTATTTCATGATAATAATTACATGTATTACCCACCTTTCACCAGCAGGTCCCAGGGTGGGTTTCAGCAATTTAAAATTCAGTATTACAAACAGCTAAAGCAAATTGCAATCACGGGACTATCTAGCAGGGATACGTTATATTCTCCTTTCCTCTACTACGCCAACCCAGCACTAGATAAACTAGTCCAACAAGAATGCACCATTGGTGCCCATTGCACTTTAAAGCACAGTGGGACTGCAATTTACGCAGATTTTACTTATGTGATCACAGCTTTACACAGATCACCAATAAACAAACATACAAATAAAAAGGGGGTGGGAGGGCCTTGCTTATGTGGCTCTGGAGGCTCTCGCAATATTTTGCAGGAGCCTCCAGAGGCCTTGTGTGACCACCCCAGAGCCCTGGAACAAGACGGAGGGTTGAAAAGCTCTTTCTGCAAAGGGTTTCCCTGTTGTATAGATTATTTTTAAGCCCTCCGCCTTGCTTACCTGGCTGTGGGAGGCTCCTGCAAGATACTGGACTGCCCCAGTCACACGAGATCTTGGACGGTGTGGGTGCTTCTAGGGGTCATTCTAACCTTGTGCAATTTTGCCTTTGCACTCAACCTCCAGTAACATGACCCCCACATAAGTTGTGGTCCTACTGCATAGCATAAGGCACAGGACAAGCAGAAAGCTCCACGGACATGTGCTTTCTAGACATGGAGGAAGCAGAAGTGTGGACGAGCCCAAATACCTGGCAACTTAAGCCCCATGTAAAAATTTGTATATGTAGACAAAACCTGCTCACTTCCCCTGGCAAGGAATTGCCACAATACAGTAGTACCTTGGTTCTCAAATGCCTTGGTTCTCAAACGCTTTGGTTCTCAAACGCCCAAAACCCAGAAGTAAGTGTTCAAGTTTTTGAACGTTTTTCGGAAGCCGAACATCCGATATGGCTGTTGGCTATTTATTCCGGGGCATCTGCACCAATCAGATGATGCACATTGGTTTTTTAACATTTTGGAAGTCAAATGGACTTCCAGAATGGATTAAGTTTGGCACTTTTGTTTTTGCTATTTGTTTTGCATTTTTGTTTTTGAGGGTTTTCCGGTTAATTTGTTTTTGTGACTGTGTGAAACCCAGTTCAGCTATAGATATAGATAGATAGATAGATAGAGTGACTGTGGAAATGGATAAAAGCTATCATCAGTGCAAGTAAGGGGGAAAAATAATTTTAATTTTTATCATCTACAATGCTATCTTATTTATTTTATAGTACAGTACATTGATTATTGCTTTAATTTGATGGATCAATGGTCTCGCTAGATATTAAAATTAATGTTAAATTGCTGTTTTAGGGGTTGTTTTTAAAAGTCTAGAACGGATTAATCTGTTTTGCATTACTTTGGGAAGGCATGCCTTGGTTTTGGAACGCTTTGGAATGGACTTCCAGAACGGATTAGGTTTGAGAACCAAGGTACCACTGTATCAAGATTAGGGGTGCCATGAGCAAAAGTGGGGTCTTTCCTAAGAGCAGCTCCAGTACTGTGGGTAAGAAGCAATATGTGTCTTTCCCTTTCCCCACATTTGCCTCAAACCACAGTTCTTGCATCAGGAGGGAAGAAAAATTTCAGCTTGGGAGAACTAAGAGCAGAACTAGGAATCGGGGTTGAAGGGCATGCCTTGTTCCAGCATTTGGTTTATTTGAAGAAATGGTCATAGTGAGGAATAAAATATACTAATTTAGCGAGCAATCCTATGGCAATCCTATGGCAAGACCCATTGGGATGAGCAGCTTAGGATGCAGCAGATCTCCAGCTCAGCAAGGAGCTTCCTGGCCTTAAGTTCCCAATCCTGACTCAGTTGCTGATATGACAGCATCATTGACTTATCCCAGCTCAGCTGGAGCTGTGCAGCAGAGTAGAGGCCGGTGTAAGTCCCCCAAAAGGTGGGGGCAGAACCAGAGAGGGGAGACCGATATTAGATCCTGAGCCCATTCAGCTTGGTCATGTGACCTGGCAACCCAGCATAAAATACTGTCTTAAAGACTTGTTTTGCCTGTACCAGGTGTGGGCAGAGCAGCAGCAGCAGCAGGCACTTGGATGAATAGGGTTTGGAAATGGTGTGGCACCATTGCAGGTTAACTTACACTGGTCTGCTTTGCGTGTCGATGTCCCCAAGCCACCCCCTAAATAAATCACAATTCACACAGAATTTTTGTTTAAGGTTTTTGGCATAATTTTGGCCACAACTTTATTCAAATACACACATGTGAGTGGTTGCTTAGGCATTGGTTCCGACTATCTGTCCCCACCCCGGGACAGAACTGACTTCCGGATTCCAGCGAAAGCCAGTAAGGGAAAACAATATTGGGGAGAAAATGGAGCTGGGCACCAGACCCTCACCTCTTCCAGGGGCTTGCACAGCCCAAGCCCCACGCCAGGGATTCAGACGAAAGCATGGCGAGCCCCTGGATTCCTTTAATGGAATTCCCTTGCAGCACCAGCATTGGAGGGACAGGCACTGCCAACCACATCCCCTCCACCAACCAAAAATTAACCAATGCCTAACCACAACCTTACAAGTTGTGACGATTTGCTACGCAGTAGGCAAAAACCAAATGGCACCAGCCAATCAGCCAAATGGACAAAATTCCTACCAGGCCCCTGCCCCAAGAGCAGACGACCCCATGACAGGCATAGCAAGGTCAACACAATAGCCCTAGATTAGGGAGGGTGGATGGGTGATCCGGTGCACACAGCAAAAGAGAACGCTCAATGCTGCGTGCCCTGTGTATAAAACCTTTGGTCCATCCCACAAATTGGCAACATCAAAACTTGCCCAGTAACCCAAACAGCCCAATCACTGCCAATGGCCATCTAAACGATCCCACCCAGCAACAGCGGGGTGGCCTGCCAGACCCCACCGCAACACGTGCTCTCCATGAAGGAGAACATCCTTTATGCCAGCTTCTTGTGCATAAGATTTCTCCCTCAGAAACATTTGCATGAGGACTTCCACGTAACCAAGCAACTTCCCCAATTGAATGTGTTGAGTTGGTTTCTTATTGTGCAATGTAGAAAAAGTGGAAGGCAGCATACCAGCTGAAAAAGAGAAGTGGTCCTTCGAATGTAGGCCAGCTCCATTATTTACATTAAATACATGATTCTCTCCCAAGCTATGCTAAGTTATCCCAATTAGGCTTGGGTACAGAACATTAACGTTCAAGTACAGATCATTAACTGTGGGTACTGAAGATTAACTGCTTGTGTCAAGATCACTGAGGTTTTCTTTTTGAAAGCAGGGTCTTGATATTCAGTAGTTTTCTTTTCTGTAGGATTCAAGAATGCTATAATTCTTCCATTTATTTCTTTTTCTTTTAAAAAAAGAATCCATTGGAAATTATAATTCTCAACCTTCTGTGACATGGCTGATGTTAATGGAAAGGCACACATTGATTCCAGTGAGTGCTGGCTCCAATTTTATGACATATGCACTGTTCCAACAATAATTAGTCATTGTTCTCAATTTCCTATTCATAAGTAGACATTTGAAATCATTTACTGTAAAGTAATTTCAAATCCTACCAAACTATAACCAACAAACAGAAGAAATATGGCATTTACCCACCAAGTGGCACAATAATCAGTATTCCTTTTCCACTAGAATTATTGTTTTTAAGGGTTCTCCATCTTTTCTCCCTGCACTCTTAACAGCAGTTTGACAAAGAAATTAAGTAGGCAAAGTTTTTCTAGCACTTTTCTAGCTGCGCCAGAAAAAGCCTCACATTCTAAATATCATTATTCCCACCCATCCCCTACAGACATTACTTGAAACCACAGAGCATTGCTCTAGTCAGATTTGTTTCTCCATTATGTGTTTAGGATCAGAGTTCTACAGTGCCAGATGCCACACCAACGATGCATCACTAAGCTGACTCTGTTCCCTCCAATTTCTTCCCACAAATCCATTTTGCAAACAAGCTAACAGCTTGAACCTAAGACTTGCTGTGCCAGGAAATAAGTGCTCAGGATGAGGGAAAGCACAAAACGTGACATTATGTTGCCATTTTAGCAATGTCATATTGGCACTGCAGATGGATTAATCAGCCCAGTGTTTGGGATCAGGATGCAATACAGCTGTTGTAGTCATACTGCATTGCAAAGTGTTTGCTGGGAGGGTAGAGTTTACTAAAAGGAGCTGATACGATGAACATAAGGTACACTGCCCTGAGTCACAGTATTTTTTGTGGCAGGATAAAAAAACAGGCATAGGTGCAGTAAATTGGAAGAAAGGGTTTCATGCATGTTATAATGAGGTCACATTGGAGAAGCTTGGGTCATACATATGTAACATGCTAGGGCATGATTCGTGTGCAATATACCAGTCACACGCACACACATGCACACAAAAATAAGCAGAGAAATTTGTAGAACTATTTCAGCCTCATTTATTAAGTAGTCAATAGTCTGGGAGATGGGAAACACACAAAGGTTTCATTGGATAAAAAATCTAAAAGAAGACCTTCTCACCAGTGTGATATCAATCAAACAGCCAATCAGTGACTGAGTAAGCCCCTGCAGACTTTTGAT